ACCAACATGTTAACTTCTTACTTGTTCAGGCAGATTTTACTTCAGATTGGCTAGTAAAAGGATGCTGAGGCAATGAGGTTCAAATAGATTTTGAGGCTTTGAGAGTGATGGAAAGTTCTGGGGCATAGAGGGAAGGTCAAGATGAAATCTAACAGGGAGAACAGAGGTGTTGACGTTGAGATGGGCAGGAACTCTGCAAAGATCCAGTGTGCATCTTTAACCCTCTAAAAGAAGATAATGGAAATTTCTACATGCAGAGGATATTTATTCATGGAAGGTGGCCTAAGTAGTATGGATAGAAGAACATAGTATGCGAAGAAAGAAAATAAGTGTATGTGTTTTAATGAGTTTAAGTATGTTTTCTAAAAATTGAATTTTAAGTTTATAGCTATAGAGATAGCTGTTTATGTTGTATACTTATTTTATAAATAAAATATTTATATATACTATATATTTACTAAATGTATACTATATATGTCTATATCTATTGTATGTATTTTTAAATAGCATAAGCTCAACTGAAATAACAGAAAACACATTATATAATGGTTACAGGTTTTGATAACACGGTAGAATATCACATCCTCTTATTGTCACATAACCTGCTATACCCCATTGTTAGTTCACATAGACATGCTCTTGCCTGGCATTGACTTTTTCCTTGCAACTCTCATTTCTGCTTTCCTGTACAATAGGGTGAACCCTGTTTGTAAGCCACAAATGGGAAATGGGGTCTCATCAGGAGATAAAAAGTTTTAAATTTAGATGTTTCTCAATTGTTTAGCATATTTATGTGGCCTCTGCTCGTGAGTCACAGGAGCCACAGGGCCAAGGCCTGTTTGTCCTTATTGCCCAAGTTTACCAGTGACTTGGATAGCTCAGGTTCAGAGAGCATGTTTTCAGGTCTACAATGATGAATGATCCATGGTTGCCTCAAGACACCAGCTTAGCATTTAGGATTTGATACAGATGTTTACCCAGGGAGGGTCCAAGTGTTAGTAGTGGATGGAGATACAAAGTCCTCATGGGCCTGAGATACCTTGTGAAATAGAATCTAATTCCATTTTATTCTGGCAAAACCACAAAGACCTTATAAGCATGACTTTGCTGTCTCTCTAGCTCAGAGAAGGCCTGTGTCTGCTGCCAGTTTTTATTTTTTTAGTTGAGATAAAATTCACATACCATAAAATTCACTTTTGAAATGTAAAATTTATTGTTAAAAATAATGTATATATACAAGGTTGTGCAACCAGTACCACTATCTGACTCCAGATCATTTTTTTACCCCAAAAAGAAAACCCACTCCTGTTAGCACTCTCCATTCTTCCTTCTTCCAAACTCTGCCAAACACCAATCTACTTTTTTTCTATGGAGTTGATTATTCTGTACATTTCGTATAAATGGAAGCATACAATATGTCATCTTCTGTGTCTGGCTTCTTTTGTTTAGCCTAATGTTTCAAGCTTTGTCTATGATGTCACATGAATCAGGACTTCATTCCTTTTTATTACTGAGTAATATTCCATTGTGTGGATACACCATGTTATATCCATTAGTCCATTGATGGGCATTTGGGTTGTCTCCATTTTTTGGCTAGTATATGCTACTATAACATAGTAGTACATAATTCATGTACAAGATTTTATATGGCCCTATGTTTTATAACCAAGAAAATATCAAGGAATACACAGAGAAGGCTGTCCTGTGAGGGTTTGTTGCTGTAATGGCTCCTTAAGAGGCTGCCCTGGTTCTCCTGGGGCCCAGCACTGGGGCAGAGTTCATGGGACTTCCAAAGAGTGAGATGTCCAGGATGAGGCAGGCCCTGCTATTCATGATCCCTCTCTTGCTCTATTGCAAAGGCACTGATTTAGTCTTGCAGTGACTCATGATGAGCATTATTGCTGGTTGGTGAGGATTAGAAGCCTGACACTGCCTCTTAACAACTTGGCCATGTTACGTATTCTCCCTGAGCTCCAGTTGTCTTATCTTGGAATTTGAGGTAATAATATCCACCCTGCAGTTTATATGAGGATGAAAGACAATGCCTGGGAGGTTCCCTGTTCAGACCAGGGACTCAACTATGGATATTGATGCTATTAGTAATTGTCTTGTGCAGTAAGACAATTGAAGACACAAAGACCACAGTCAGGGACAGTATGGCACAAAGCTCTTTGAATGACTTGACTATTTCAGAAATGCTTAAATCATTTTTTCCCAAGAACTGTATTAGTTTGCTAGGGCTGCTACAACAAAATACCACAGATTGGGTGACTTAGACAAAAGAGATTTGTTGTCTTACAGTTCTGGAGGCTGGAAGTTGAAGATCAAGGTGTCAACAGGTTTGGTTTCTCCTGAGGCCTCTCTCCTTGGCTGGCAGTTGGCCACCTTCTCACCGTGTCCTCACATGGCCTTTTCTCTGGTGTCTTTTTGTGTTTCCAAATTTTTTCTTCTTATAAGGTCACCAGTCAGATTGAATTAATGTTCACCCTAAGGGCCTCATTTTAACTTAATTTCTTTAAAGGCTTTATCTCCAAATGCAGTCACATTATTAAGTAATAGGGGTTTAGGCTTCAACATGAGTTTTGGAGGGACACCATTCAGCCAATAACAAGCCCCTAGGGAGCACCTACTCTGTCCCAGACTCTGAGAATAGAAGGGAAAGACGTAGGCCTTGCCCACTAGAAACTGAGTCTCTTGGAGAGACAGACAAGTAAGCATCCCTGCCCTTCGTCTCGCAACTGAATTTGTGATCTCTGCAAATGTGTCATCGAATATGCATTCAGCATGCTGACCACCTCAGAGCCCCAGTTCAATCAGTTGAGAACTCTCCAGGTCTTCATCAGCGAAGAGGAAAGGAATTTATCAGTGCCCATTTAGAAACAGGAAACAGGCTAGCCAAGAATCCTGAGAAGCACTGCCAAACAGAGGCAAAATTAACAATTAGTTGAGTTTTAAGTTCGTCTTTAGGTGCCCCTTTACCTTCCTTTCTGCCAAAGTTTATGCAATCTCCAAACATGGCCAGCCAGGGCCTCCCTCACATTGCCTGCATGCCCAGCTGCAAGTTCAAGTCTATTTCCTTCCCTCCCCACACTCAACCATATCTCTCCTGCACCTTTGCCCTTTGCTTTCCAAGGTGATAGAGTAGAGGCATGAAGTTAAGAATTATGGGTACCTAATGTGTGGCGGGCAATAATTAGACACTCTACATATGTTATTTCCTTTGAACCTCATAATAGCTCTATTTCACCTCATTTTACAAATGAGGTACTTGAGTTAATAACATACCCAAGGTGACACAGTCAGGAAATAGCATTGTTTAAATGCAGGTCTTTCTAACTCCATGCTATTAGTAATGCCCTATGTAGTAAGACAATTGAAGACACAGAGGGCACAGGTCAAGGACAGTGTGGCACAAAGCCCGGCTACAGGCTGTAGTGGGCAGGGAGGCTGTGCAACCAGGCAGCCCCACCAGCTAAGGGCTAGTCCCCAGAGAGGTGCAGCCATGAGCCTATAGTTGCCAAGCCCCAGACTGGCAAAGGGGACCTGGTCTGGACACCTACAGCCTCCACTTCTGTAGCACTGCTGACATTCTAGAAGAAGACTCCAAGGAAAATAATCCCTTGACCCAGAGGAATGTATCTTTACCACTTCACACGTCGTATGGCAAGTTGTTGCAGGAGGTACTTTTGTATCAAAGGATAGAGGTGGGGGCTTTGAGAATCCTGAGGTTATACCCATAGAAGTCTATCCTATAATACTGTTTTAAGTCCAATAGGATTTATAGTTTGACAAAGTGGTTTTTGTGTACATTATTCATTTGATCATTACAAAAACCTTATGAAGTAGATGGCAGTTTTTGTCGGTCCCATTTTGCAGGGAGGTTAAGTGGTTCAGTCTCAGAACTTGAATGTGATAAAGGTGAACCTAGAACCTGCATCTGACTTGAGATCCAATGCCCCTCCAACGTTGCATATATGGTCTGGTTGGATGGACACTGCAAAGAACATAATACCCCAACCTAGGGTCACCAGCTATCTGGTTTGCCCAGGACTTTTCTGGTTCCAAACTTGAAAGAGATCGAGGGCTAGTCTCTGAGTCTAGGCACAGAGCCCAAGGCCCACAAGGCATTTAAAACCCACAGAAGCGCTCAATTTTAATTACTTTCAACAGCAGAAGAAAAATATGAATTTCATAATAAAAATGAAGCCAGCCTGGATTATATTTATACTAACATAGTCATAAAATATAATTTTTAATTTGTGTGTATATATGTGTGTGTGTAAGAAGGGGCCATAAAGGCAAAAGTACCATACAGTCATAATTCAGTGCTGGGGAACTGGCTCCGTCCTAAGCAAACTGGGACTGTGGTTTGCCTTAACCCTTTAACACCTTAACAGTAGTGGCTAGTCATAGCTAAGGAACTTTGAGCTTTCCCATGTGGTGGTTGCCTAAGATCATGAGTGTTGCCCCACTTCTATGATTTCCATGCATCTGACTTCTTCCTTTCTAGTTATGTGTCTGTTGCTTGAGTTTGCTTTGGCTTCCCTGAGAAGGAGCAGATGCGCCCTCTCTGGACATTCCTCACACCAAGCTGTGGGTTCCAGCACAATGTCAGTCTCTCCCTCTTGACTATGACCAGGTACTTGTCTGATTCTTCTTTTTGGCCCCAGCTTCTAGCTGGGGTTCCAAGTCAGGCACTAAATGCATATTTATTGATTGAGAGAATGAATTAACTGATGGTCTGATTCAACCAGTCGCTTGTTATATAACACTGGGGACACTAAATGGCCTGGGCCTCATTTTCTCCAATTGTAAAATAAATATGTTGGAATAAATGAACTGCCAGGTTCTTAGGGAGCACTTTATGTTGTCTATTTATTATGCCAGAACATGTGACTTTGTCAATGTCATTGACAAGTGTGCCTCAGTTAGCTATGACATAGTCATTTGCAGATTCTTAGTAATTGCTGTGCTTTCTTCCATTCCCATTTTTCTTTTAGGTCCTTACTGGAAGGCAGCATGTCCAATTTTGCCTTGAAAAAGACGTCTCCCACAGGAAATGGTAATGTAGATGTTTCCCTTACTCAGAAAACTTAAAGATGTAAGAAAAACAACTTACAGATCCTAATTCTTTACTACAGATATTGAGTGCTTAGAAACAACAATCTAATTTAATTAGCTTTGTCAAAGTGAGGCTTACGAAAAAGTAAGAATGCTACAGCTTTTACTCATATAATTGTGATTCAAAGATTCTTTTTTAGAAAATCTTTGGATATTTTTTTTAAATGTGTGTTTTTTTAATGTGTCCTTCTATGCTTCTGGTTCTCACAAGATCAAAGAATTAAGTTACTTATAATCAAATGTACTGGGATTTATTGACTGTTATTTACTAGGTACTATAAAAACGTTCTGTATGTACTTCTGAGTCATATTTCTTCTTGAGTAAAATGGCCAATCTACTAAACTCTAGCTCGGTTTATTCCAGGTTGTTGGTTCTGCCTTCCCAGCAGCTGGTTGGGGCCTCATGAGCTGCCCTGGCAGTTTCACTTGGCACCTGAGCAGTTGTATATGTTATCTTTTATTATTGGGGGTGGGATTTGTTTTTTCTTGCTGGTGCATCCTACTTGGAGCTGTACTAGACTTGCAAGCCTAGAAGACTGATGCTGGCCATTCAGATGTGCCTCTCCTGATGTTCAGGTTAACAAGCCCACACTCAGCACCCCACTGTTACATCTCCCAGTTTTTCACGTTTCTCTTCACAGATATGAAGAGTTCCACTCAGAGGGCCAGACTGAGGCAACAAGGGTTTCACGACGTGAACAAAAGAAGACCTTTCTTACAGGATAATAGCTGGATAAAGAAACGTCCTGAAGAAGAAAAGTAAGAGGGTCTGGACAGTGGTGGGTGGGTGGGTGAGCAGTGAGAAGCATTCTCTGTTTGGGAAGCTAATGGCCAAGCAAACACTTCTCTTTTAAAACACTTTGTGGCATGGTCTAATTTTTGGTAAGATTTATGAAGCATAAATTGGTTGCATCAGATTTTTAAGAGTATCTCTACCACTTTTAATATCCACATACATAAGAGAATGTGAGTGATTACTGAGAGAGAGCCTGATTGTCTCCTAGCGTAGGCATATGTGCTTACTTGGTAAACTGAAAAGAAAACATGGCTTTCCAATTTCCAAAAGATAATGGTTAATCCATGATAAGGAGATTCCTGATATGGGTTGATCATAGCAGTTGAAACAAACATATAACAGTATAATTCTAAATATATAAATTTAGTAATAAATTCCCAACTCATTTTAGTGCCATCTGGCCATTTAACTCCAGGTATTGAAAGGGTGGGAAATGTACTATTACTTTGTAAGGCTAAGTGTTTACCACCAAATAAGTTTTGTCTGCTTTGAGAATTGCTTCTACTAGTTATAGGTTTAAAGATCTGAAGACTATGACCACAGGCGTACAGCTCATTGATAACGGATTTTTAAAATATATTTATCTAGACTATATATTTATTATAAATTATGTATACATTATAGATTACATATACAAATATGTACATTTTCTGATTTCCTTATGTGTTAAGTTTGATGCTAGATACATTATGTATAAAGCATCTTTAAATCTCAGAGCAAACACACAAGATTGATGTTATATCCTCATCTTATAGAAGAGAAGTCTAAGGCTCAGAGAAGTTAAGTAACTTATCCAATGACACACAGCTATTAAATGGGTGGAATTGAGATTTTAACATGGTCTATTGTCTTTTTATTACACAAGTATTTCTCAACCAGAGGCAATTTTACCTCCTGAGGACATTTGACAAGTTTGGAAGACATTTTTGGTTGTCAAAATTGGGATGTGCTCCTGACATTTAATAGGTAGAGGTTAGGGAGGCTTCAAAACATTCTATAATGCACAGGACAGCCCCTACAACACAAAAATTGTCAAATCCAAAATGTCAACATCCCTGAAGTTGAGAAATCCTGAATTACAGGATACCTACTCTAAACTATGTACAAACTATTCATATATGGTTATTTTAGGGGGATCCTTGTGAATGTTAAATAAAAAATCTATTAATTTCTGTTATTGAATCTTATTATATTAAGAAAATATAGGGCTGCTTAGAGACGCTCACTCATTTTTGGAGTTAGTATTATTGGACAACAAACATTACCTTCTATGAAACAGCACTCATTGCTTCTGTATGAGCCTTAAGATGGCATTTCTGTATGAGCCTAAGATGGCATTTCTATCTTTCTGTAGTGGCAATGTGATGACAAATGTAGACCATAAATTTTAGATTGCAAGTATTTACACAGATAGGTGAAGATAGAATGTATAAGACAAATCACTGTTGGTAGGAATGCTGCTTTTATGCCAGGCATGCCTCCCTAAAAAAAAAAAAAAACCCAGGGAAGCCAGCTTGGATGGCATGGCAGCTGCTGAATGAAGGGGAAATTGGCTGTGATGGTTCCCTGACTCCCACTGGCCCGCGTCTAGGCTGTGTGTTATGATTCTTCTTCAGGTAAGAACACACGTGGTGTCTACTACTCTGTCACAAGTTTTAGGAAGAGATACCAAGGAAGATGTGAAAGTTCTCTTGGGATCTTTGAGGGTGTATATTTGCTGGCATTGTTTCAGTTTCACTACTTATCTTTCTTTTTAATTGTCTATTATAATTCATTTATAGCTTAATTAAAAATGGTTCCACGGTGTTGAGTAATGTTAGTGGGGAAGAACCAGGAGAAATGTGGTATTTCAGGTTTGGTTGGGCTGATGTGAGAAAGGTTCAGATGCCTACTCTTTGCCTTGGTTCAAGTCCGGAGGCTCTGCTACATGTTTTGACATTTCCTAAAGCTGTCTGTACTTTCAGGCCCACTTTTTAAAGTAAGAAAGACATGGCTTTTGGATTTTATGTATGAAGGTCTATTGCAGGGTTGACTGGTAGAAAAAAACCAAAGATTTTGAAGAGAAAGATCTGGGTCCTAGACCCACCTCTGTGACTTGCTAACCTCGTGGTCTTAGGAAAGCCAAAATGCCTGATCAATTTCTTCATCTGTGAGTTGGATATGATAGTGCCTTCCCTGACTAATTCATAGGGTTATTTTAAAGACCAAATAGAGCAAACTATGTATTCTCATGGTTCAAAAACTAAGTCTCCTGTGAATTGTCAATCCTCAACCACAAATATTGGTATTTGTTTTCCTATATGTTATCAAGGAAAACTGTCAAGTCCACCAACATATCCAGACATAATGGGCTTAATTAAATTCAAACAATATTTGTAGAAAGTTTTTGTATTTGCTTTCCTGCAGAAAAGGATTCTTCCAATATATATAAAGTAGATGGCCTTGTGTTCCCACAGTCTGATAAACGAAACAAAACAAAACACTCATTCATTGTTGAATCATGTGGCAATCTCATGGGGTAAATGATCATTTGTACTGACAAACTTGTTTCTTTTTGCCATGCTCTTTCAAGTGGTGACTGGTTAAAATAGATACATAGTTGTGTTCTTATGCCTGAAGTAAAATAAATTAACCTTCCAAAAAATTGGAAGCTCTCTCCCCTGTCTCTCTCATTTAGTGCTTGGCAAATATTGCGGCAACTTTTTATGTGACATAATTTCGTTCTTTCTCTGCAGAGACGAAAATTATGGTAGGGTGGTGCTCAGCAGACACAATTCCCATGATGCCTTGGACAGGTGGGTGTTTAGACAAGTTACATCATTGGCAGAAGCACAAAAATTGTAGGGTTTTTTGTTTGTTTGTTTGTTTGTAGATGACATGATTTTATATGTAGAAAACCCTAAGGACGCCACACGAAAACTCCTGTTAGAAACAATAAATGAATTCGATAAAGTTGCAGGATGCAAAATCAACATACAAACATTAATTGCATTTCTATATACTAACCATGAAAAAATTTCTTTTTTTCTATGTAAAAAAGAAATCAAGAAATAATTCTCATTTACAATAGCACCAAAACAAATACAACAATTACAAATAAACTTAACAAAGGGGGTGGAAGAAGACTTGCACACTGAGAACTAAAACACATTGATAATGAAATTAAGGAAGAAAAAATACACAGAAGGATATCCTGTCTTCATGGATTTGAAGATTTAGTATTGTTAAAATGTCTATACAAAAGCAATCTAAAGATTCAGTATAATCTCTATCAAAATTCTTTTTTTTTTTTTTTGTCCAAAAGATGGTAGTTTTGAGAGAAGACTTGTTCAAGTCCGCTGGATATTTGTAGCTAGCCTCAGGCTTTCCCTCACATTCTGAGTACGTGAAGAAGAATCCGATATAATCAGGGTTCACCACAGGGCACCAGTGGTGCTTCTCCAGCTCTGTTCTCCCAAAATTAGGGCTTGGAGGCAGAACACAATCTGTCCCCCTGCATAGAGATGGAAACAGAACCAAAGGAGATATCTCTGAACCTTACAGAAAAGAATCCTAAAATGCAGAAATAACAACTCCAGAGTTCACTTACTTTATGGCAGAATACATTTCTTTTTGGAAACTCCTGGGCTTGTGGGAAAACACTAACTGGTTCTCCGTGGCAAATAGACTTCCAAATGCAAGTTGATAGGAAAATTCAGACAAAACCTATAATCACAATGATATAAATCATTTCAGATTGATCAAGTAAATAGATAATATTCTTATTAAAACATATCTGTACTTGGAATGCATACAAACAACCACACCCATCAAAGGACCTAATTATTTATCAGATGCAAGTTTTATCTGGTCTAGTGGCTTGTGTCTGTTTCTCACCAAGAGCTACTTAGTAAGGGAGTATGGTTGTCTTTCATGGTGTGGATTTTAAAAAGTTAAATAGACACCTTGAATATGTCTATTTAGGAAACATTCATCTGTGAATTTCTCTCAATTGTTTTAAACCTTTTCATAATTTTGATATGTTTTCTAGGCAAAGTAGCTATTTTGTTTTCCTGATACTAGCCTTAGTTCAGCTGATTTGCTGTTCTGTAATCTGGTAGACTCTCTACCTAGGCCTGTTCCTACTCGTCATGATATTGAATTTTACAGTCTGACTCTCAGTGGGCCCTCATCTCCCCAACGAAGGGGAGGCTCATTGAGTTCAGCCACCAATGGAAATTACTCCCTCCGTTGTATTGACCCTTCTCTGGAACTACTAAAGAAACATAGACACTTGTTTTGAAGTGGGATAGTGAAAACCAAGCTTCATATTCTTAGTGTTCATACAGTGTGCTTTAGGATAACCAGAACTTAATGCTTTCCATGTCTGTTTTGTACTTTAAATTACATTGGCTGCCTGGCCCCTTCCTTTCGGTGGCCAGCATTTTGGCTAAAGTAGCACATCAGGCCTTTATCTTTGGTAACAATCTCTAAGCCCTCATCCTACAACTCATATCACAGAATACACCTCCCTCAAAGAGTAGGGGAGATTGTTTTTCTCCTGGAATTTGCTCAAATCATGCTTCTTGTAATTTTTCTGCCCCAAGGAGGCTGTCTTCACTTTGGTGTTCATTCAACAACCACTTTGGAGCACGTATGTGCTGGCATTGTGCCAGGTGCTGGGAATAGAAAGATTTGCAAGTCACAATCTTGACATTAAGAGTTCTTGCATTCATGGAAAACTATCCATAAACTAAAATAAAATACTAAAATTTACCATAGAAAGTGCTATTGTAGAGGTGTCTGAGTGTGCTATGGGAGTAAACAGGAGAGACTAACTGTGCCTGAGTAATTAATTGAAGACTTCACCAAGGAAGTAGTCTTCGGTGTTGACACTGCTTCTTAAAGGATGAGGAGGAAAAGTTTCTCAAGTAGGCAAGGCTGGCTGGCAGGCATGGGGCAGGGAAAGAAGCACTTCCAGCAGAGAGGACAATGCGTGCCGAGTGCAGGCATGAGCACAGACTGAAAATAAAGGAAAAGGAAAATAAATAACATATTCTCCTAACCTTAGATGACAGCTTCAATATTATCTACAAAGTAGGACGTTTTTCTGTGTACATCTTTTGATGGATTACTTAAATATGTCAAATAAGGCTAGTAGACAAATAGTGCCTGTGGGATACCTACTGTGAGCCAGATTCTGTGCGACACACTGGGGACAAAACAAAGTGTCTCCTTCCATAAACCTTGCCTCGTAGTTGAAGGTGAGGGAGGGGAGCGAATAACACAATATCGTAGAAATAACACAGTGTAATATGTCTTGTTGCGATAAGCTTTAGAAAGAATACAGCCTGCTGAAGAGATATAAAGTGATTTTATCTGTTGAGGGGCTAATTTTTATGGAAGGGGTCAGAGGGCCCTTCAGTACCTGTTTGCATTTGTACCTTACACACGATGGTGAGTGACACCATGATTTCATTCCAAGGTTTCCTCAAAAACCCGGGGAGTTGTATTAGGCATTTTTCTTTGCTTTTTTTCTAGCCTTAACTCATACTGTTCTGTCTACCTCAGTTTGGAAATATTCACATCTGTTTATCTTCCAAGGCCTAGCTCACGCTACACCTCATCCGTAAAGCCTTCTCTGGTTTTTACATTTGGAAATCAGCTTAGAACTTTCTTGTACTTTACCTCTGAACCTCTTTTATGACACTGATCACTTTCCGCCTTTGAATGTACACACCTAATTTGTCTGTCTTGTCCTGTGCAGGTAGCATCTATAGTTATTTCATTCCAGATGTCCTCATAGTCATGGGCATAGTACTTTGTATATTGCCGACCTCCAAATACATGCTCAATTAAAATATACCGGATCAAGTTTAAAATTGAATCTTGAGTATCCAGTCTTAGTAATTATCCTAATTCAATACTTTTGATCTGTTGGCTTTAAATAATGCTTTGAAATTTAAATACAATAAATCATGGTCTAATTCCCCAAAGAGCTTGCTTTTTTTTATATTACAGGGTTATATGAGGCATTAAACAGGCTTTTTTTCCCTATTGGATCAGTCTGATCAGGATATTTTCACTACTTCCACAATCGTGATTCCTGCTTTCAAGTCTCCTGTCTTTCCTTCCCTTAATTTCTTATCTTCTTTCCTCTCCTTCTTCCCTGCCTTTTTTCACTCATTTGTCTTCTTCTCTTCTTTGCCTTCCATCTCTCTTCTCCTTACTTCTCCCTATCACTCTTCTTCCATATCTATCCTTTCTCTCATCTTCTACGTTCTTTTTCATTTCTTTTTCCAGATTTTCCTGTTTGCTCCTTTTTCTTTCTTTCTTTCTTCTCTGTCCCTCCTATTCTTTTGCCAGTGAGTTCTTTTCTTTCAACCCTGTCCACGGTGCTGAATGTTCAATAAAGCATCTTAGTATTTAGCCCATTGTGCTGGCTTACAGCACTGCTAAAACTCTGCAAACTAAATGTAGCTGATTATAAGGGATTGAGTTCCTATTATGTAGAAATCAATGACATTGACAAGAGTACATATTAGTTATTAACCATTTTACATGTTGTGTTGTTTGTTTTATGTATGCTTATCCCCAATTTGAATATGTCACATTGTAGCTAGAAATAATTAGAGCCAGAGACAAATCCTTTATTAGCATAGGGAATTGAATTTGCCATAATTTATTCTATCCAAGTAAAAAAAAATAACTTGAAAGATTTGGGTACTCCAAATTTGTCTTTCTGTGGTAACATGTACATTTCCTACCTAAATAGGTTAAAAATTTGCAAAATGTTTGGTAGGTTTTGTGAACTATTTTTATTTATTTATTTAATCTTTTGGTAATTATTTTTGCTATAGGAAAATACATGAGAGACAAGAGCCAAAAGCTACAATTAGTCGGTATAGATCTGATGACACTTTGGACAGGTAAGGTGCTTTTGAGCCACGTAAGTGGAATGCATAACACACATCAAATTTCCTTTCTTATAAAGTTATGAAATATTTAAATGTTTACCAAAATATGCTTTGAACTCTTGATATTTTATTCCCAGGGACGGGGACCCCATGGATTGAATTATCTTCTTCAGAACTCACAAAATCTTGACTAGATACATTGTTTTCCTAATATTCTGCTAATAGTAGATTGACATGAAAAATTATCAGAGGCACTGATTTGAGTACAGATAGGGTGTGCACTGCATGGAATCTGTTTGTTCAATTTAAAATGAAGAATATAGTTATTTTTGTGAATATGAATAGCTCTTGTTCTAATATTTGGTTCTTCCATCCTGATGGTTGAAAAATAGCAGTTTCTGTACAACCTTTTTATGGAGATATTATAAATTTTAATAATACAATAGTCTTGATACAACTGTAGGATAAAGACATTAGCTCTTTACAAAGTGAAACTGCTCTGTCAGCACTAGAGCATGGCTTGTAGAATGAGTCCATTGTGTTGTGCCTGTTATTAGTTTCCTCTTACATGGAGGAAAAGGCTCACCTCTATAGAGAAAATTGGGAAACTTCTATTCAGGTTGACATGCAATGTCACAAATAACATTTTTAGTTTAGATTTGGTAGAGATGCTTAGTAAGCATAGGTAAAGGACAAAGTTAACATCTTTCCTAGGAGTCTAAGCACCATGGACACCCCAGCCCAGTGATAGCTGAGTTCACTCCCTGTAGCTAAAGATGTGCTGCAATGGTAGGTAAAAATGGCACCTACTGGGTTGTGAGCAAATATGCTGAAATTTACAATATCTAATAGACTCTGCATTCAGACTATGTTGGTGTTGATTAATATAGCAAATGTATATGCTTCTGTCCTATTCATAGGCTTTCAAAGTCAGTCTCCCTATCCATACTGGTATTCTAAAGAGATAGCTTCTCTCTTCTTTTAATTATCAGCCTTATCAAAAATGAGTTTGTAGAAGTTAATGTACAAGGTCTCATCTCCACAGAAGTACATGGAGAAGTAGTAGACAAAGTACCTCTGTTCACTTGCTCTGGCCTTGCAGACTGTCCTATTGCACAGTTAATTGGAGAAGGAAACCCTATTTCTAGGAATGAATTTTAAAGTGAGATAATTAAGCATCAATAAAGGTGGGAGATCCAAGCTTCTGCAGGCTGTGTGTCTGAAAGTTTTTGTCAGGCCAGTCAAAACACAGCCTTAAAAATGGTCTAGACCTCACAGGCAGTCCAGTTAAGTCATTCTCAACCTTAGCTGCAAATGAGAACCACTGAGGAGCTTTTAAACTTCACTGACACACCTTGGCCCTACTGCCCCTCATTCCCCCGATTCTGACTGAATTAGCCTGAGGTGGAACTCGGGCATTTTTTTCAAGCTTATAAAGTATTTCTAATGTGCAGCCAAGATTAAGAACTATCAATATAGCCCAAACTGTTCACTTTATACACTAGAAAATGGGGCCAGAGATTTATTTGCACGGAGGTTTATTGGCATGCTTGGGAGAAGTGCCCTGGTCAGCTCATTTGCAAGGCAGTAAATGTGGGAATAGAAGCGAGGAATAAAACACAGGAATCAGTAAAGAAAGGCAAGTCCTGTTAGCAGGAGTTGGACTTTTGTGATGTGGGCACTCCAAAATACAAGATGTGAAATAATTTTAGGAGGAAGATAATCAAATGTCTTGTGTATGTGCATGCATTTTAATAATAATACATTTATTTTAGTGACTACTAGAAAAATACTGAGTTTACATTAGAAGAGTTATCTATTAAAATATAAATATGTGGGCAAAATATGAGGTGTGCTAAATAAACATAAGTAAATAATAACGTATATACTGTGCAGATATGGCCCAAATCTTGAAGGTGGTCGAATGACTAATTTGGAAAACCTAGGTTAGAGAGCCCCCTAGCGCTCTATAGTGAAAGTATAACTTTTTCTTTGGTTCTTCTGATAATATTGCTAATTATATAGTGTTTGAGTATTTCCTATCTCCAAGATTCACTCCTATTAAAACAACCTATTTCATATCACATGTTGACAGAAACTTAAATTCCAGGGTAAACACAAAATTAATCTTCCCCAAGCAATAAGAAATTGACATATGTTTTGGAATGATGGTTTAGAGTTCTTTCCATGACTATTAATAGATGTATCTCTCTGATAGCATGAAAGAAATTGTGAGATGTGAAGAATAATAACTAAAGGAAGACAAGTTAACCTAATATATAAGTGTGGGGGACAATCATACTATAGTATCAGATATATGATATTGGGTCCCAGTGAAAAGACTTAGAGATAGACTACTTCCCAGTTGTGAGGCCAAGAGAAAGTCACCCAACTTCGATGAGCCTCCATGTCATTATCTACAAAATGAGAAAAATTACACCTACCCTGCAGGGGTATTCTGAAGAGTAGAGATAATATATGAAATGACCCCAAAAGAGTAGTAGGTAGCTATTTTTATTATATTTAGTAGTGTCCATATAAATTTACACCATGGAATTTTAATTAACTTCATTTAATTTTAACATCAGAACCCACCTTGAGAACATTTGATATTAAGGTTCCATTTATTTTAGACATATTACTGTTTTCAGTATACCAGAGTAGCAATTTTCTGAGATTATTTTTATTTTATATGAGGATCTCATATATAACTATGAAGTCTGAGTAGGATTCCCATTGAACATTTAAGATATAAGAATTCTGATCACCTGACATTTCACCGATGATATTCACAGTGATTTAATGCAGAGCCCTTGAAATCTAAACATCTCAGAGCTTCAAAGGATTCAGTTAATGCAGGGAATATAATCCCAGTATTTGGCCCATTGATCATCTTAGACATGAGTTTTTTTTACATATGGATTCTAGGATTATGTCCATATTAGTGTCTGCATTGTGAACAGTCTGTGCAGAATAGGGAGCTATAACTAAAGGAAGACATGTTAAATTACCTATAACAGTGGAGTGTTATAACCAGTTATTTATTCTTCCTTTAGTATTCAAGAGTAAGCAGTTCATGGCATTACATAGCATAAACAGAAGCTGTTTGGAGTTGACTCAGAAATTTAATGTATTAGAGTCATCACCCATTAGTTTAGTTACAGATACCAAAATGGCATCTAGAAATTGAAATGATTTTTAGGTTATGACTAAAATGAGTAATATTTTATTTTGAATAAAGTCATATTTTTTCCACATGACCTTCTTTTAGAGAGGGGCAAAGTCAGTATCCACCTTAGCAGGAACAGTTTATATAAAGCCATGTCCTAAAGTTGATCATGAAAGCAGAAGTTTAGGGAAAGTTATAGTAGACCTGTGGTGTGGGATCAACAGAAGAGTCTTACTGAACTTTTATTTTTCTGAACTTAGCTTTGCTGTATCCTACTTTCCTGAAAGCTTGCAGAAGGCTACCAAAGACAGGCCCAAGTCTTAGGAGGAGCCTTCCTTTCTGGTGTGAGACAAGGAAGGAAGGAACAAGGGCTGAAGTCATGAGACCCCACTATTGGCATGGAACGATAACCTCCCTAATTTGCATTTCCTGATCCAAGAGAGGGACAGACTCACCTTTTCTAGATCTATGAGATTAGAGGGATTAAAACCTCTGATGGCCATTAGGAGCTATTAACTAAATGTATTAGTCAAAGTAAACTAATTTAACAAGTCCCCTTTCTCTTTCCTAAATCCTGATGGTTTGACACAATATAAGGTACTGCTTGACCCATCAGAGTCCAGTGTGACTTGATAGGATCTGCAGTGACTCAGGGAACAAGTCCCTTCCATGTTTTAATGCTGCCATCTTCGACCCATGGGCACCAAAGCCGTAGTAGAAGGGAAAGAAAGAGCAAGGGAAAGAAAGAGATTATGCAGGAGGTTTTTGTTGGGTCTGGAAGTGGCAAATAACATTTCTGCCTACACTGTTTAGTCTAGAACCCAATCCCATGGCCCCGACTTAATTGCAATGAAGATTGGGGAATGTGGTCTTCCTGTGTGCTCAGGAAGAAAAGAAAATGAGTTTAGCAAACACGTAATATCGTCTATGCCACAAAATATTGTAAAAATATTTAAGTAGTCCATTGATGCTTTATCAACATAGGCAGTACTGTCATTGGCTAGATATATTACTGAACAATAAACTATATGAAAGGAGTTAATGAGTTAAATGCTCAGTGAGTCAGAAAGGCAACCTGGGAAAAGGCATAATACTTTTAAATTTTCAAACTACATTAAAATAGCCTCATAAATAGATTTGTTATCATAAGTAGCTTTTTTTCAAACTATAAAATTTTCTAAAAAGTAACACCTGAGAAAAATAATTATCTTTACTAGAGAAAGGTTATGTTGTGAAGTTATTCTAGCATGAAAGAGACCCGAAAGGAGTTTAATAATCTAAATGTTTATCCAGACTTTTGTCTTGTTTCTTTATAAAGGATCTCAGACAGAAATGATGCTGCTAAAGTGTATAAGGCCAATACCTTGGATAACCGACTAACCAATAGGTACCAGTATCTACTAACTTTGGGAAAGGCTCAAGTATAGTATTTTTCTAAGTGTTAATGATTTACTTACAATTCTTTGATCCTACTTAATATCCTTCTGTAAACTCTTATCTTCTATATTTTTAACACAAAAATTCTGGAGTAAATTCTTTATTCCTGCTCATGGCTAGAATAAAATCTTGTCTGGCTTAAAAATCAAGAGAACTCATTGTTTCTCAGGGGTGAGGAACCTGTGGCCTTCTAGATCCTTAAGTGTGACCTTTTGACTGAATCCAAATTGGCTGCAGGTTCCCCGACCTTGTTTTTGGTCATCATTTGTAACCACATTTATGTTTCTGTTTAAGGCGTCCTGGTGACAAAATTATGAAATGCAAACAAATGAAAATTTTAAATTCTTATTATTAAAGAAAATTACTGAACCCATCAAACAAAAACACTGGGCTTTTAAGAGATACTGAGTTTTCCCAGAAGAAAAAAAAAATTTTCCTTTGCAATCTAGTACAAGAAATAGAATTATGAAATCACCTTAACAAATGTATTCAAACATTGATGCTTTCTTTTTCTTTCTCTCAAATAATACTTAACTTTTAATAATAATAACTCTACATTTATGAACAATTGCAAATAGATGCAAGTATTAATTTTTTGTTGCTGCTCAAATTTTGCCTTTTCCCCCCTCTCTCTTACCAGGAACATGTCTACATTTAGATCACCAGAAGCCACAAAGTCGTATGTACTTTCCTAATTTCTTTGTATGTGTTTAAGAGAATACAGAGTTTACCTCTCTTTTACCGGAACACAGCCACAGTTTTATTGGAACACGGTCACACCTATTGCTCTGACAGAGTTGAGTAAAAGAGGTCATATACTGAAAAGTTCTGCAAAGTTTCCAATATTTACTCTCTGGACTTCTGCAGAAAAAGTTGCCAACTGTTACTCTAACCAAACACCAAAGTCTGGGTCATCCTTTTGTCTTCTTCTTTTAGGAAATCTAAACTCTTTATTTTTCCCCCACAAAGCTTTGTTTCCCTCTACACCCACTTCCTTCCCCTACACCTCACTTCCCTCCCCACACACTCTCCACAGCTACACCTCCTCTTTCAGGGGAAACTGAGTTGTGAAATCATAGGTCTGCTCTATTTAGGTGAAATGCATTATCCCTGGAAAGTACTACTGGCAGTTACAAACAGCCCAAATTAGATGGAGTTGTTTAAAACTTAATCAGTTTTTAAATTTGTATTTACATGTAAAGTAATACAAAGTAACTGGACCATACCTCTCAGTGCTTGAAGCAGACGTGGATCACTTCCATTTTCAGAGGGTCTGAATATATTAATCAATGCTGAATAGAAACTTAAAATTATATGATTTAAAAAATCTTCTTAAACAAATTAATGTTTAATGGAAAAAATTGCAATATAATTCTGTTAGTTACAACATAATCACAGGATTAAAAAAATATGAATCCATGGCACATCAGAACTGAATGGTATGAATTTCAGACATAAAATTAATGTCATTTTATGAATGACTCCTGCATTCATTCCTTTCAGTTTTAGCTAGTTGTATGAGAGCCTGCCAATTTATAAATGGGTAAACTAGGGAAGAACTTTTTTTTCTTGTTGTTCTTCCACTCTCAAAGGGAACACTTTGTGGTAGACAGGGAGCAGGCGGGAGTATGAGTAGATTATAAGATCTTTCAAAGGTGGGGTAGGATGAAAAAGTAAGGAATGTGATGATTTGTTGTTTTTGTCATTAAACAGGCAACCTGGTGGTTTGTTGAGTGTGAACACTTCTAATACCACAGCTTCCACCTCTGCAACTACCCCTGTAAAGAAAAAGAGGTACAATGAGAGTTCCTTGTGTCTGTCTCTTGCTGATATCCTGTAAAGGACTGTTCTTTATTGACTTTTAAACCAAATCCTCCACCAAAACTCCCAGGCAGCGTTCAGAAGCTTCATCCTCTCCTTCCTGTGGATCCAGCATCTATAAGCTGTTGTTCCCAAACTTCAGTTCTTGCCCCCCACAATCTCCTTTTCAAATACACGGTCTTCTCTCCAGTTGCCTTAGGGCCTTAAGTTTCTAGGTAATGTTTTTGATGATAGAGCTCAGATGTTAAATAGCAGGCAACCTCGGGTTACATGTTTTATAAAGTCCTGGTACAGGGAATGCCTCAGCCTGAAATAATGGCCGATGTATGGCCACATGTTGCCATGCTCCTGAAACCAGCCTGCTCTGTAGATTGGGCTGACCCTACTTCCAAGTGCAGAGTTCAAGGCCATCTCTCAAGATATCTGTCTGTGTTTGTGTGATTATTGCCTCCTCCTCCAACTCCTCTGTGTGGTTTCCCACACTCTGCTGGAGCAAGGTTCTACATATCTAGTAGGCAAGGAGGAGCAGTTGGACCTGTGGTGGCCCGGATGGACTTCATGGCAGGGAGCATGATGGTGGAAGAGATTTTTACATGTTGAAGAGAACACAGTGCTAGTGAATCGTGGTGCAAATGGAAAACAAGCATTCATAAATATCAGTGATTTTTAATTTTCTTATTTTCTTTGCCTGCACCTAGGTCCATCCCTGGTATGGGGTAGGTGCTCAGTGTTTGTTGATGGACTGGCTGACTTTGCCACAGTGATGCTATAATCCTTCTGGAGAGAAATGATTGATTCTATTTTCCCTGCAGTAGTGGTTCTGGTTATAACTGCAGAGTCTCAGAAAATGTCATTCACCTTTCCTTTGAACCCAAATTTCACATCTCCTTGATGCTTTGTCTGTTTAAAACAGATTCCTAAGGTTGAAAGAGAAATTTAAGATCAGTTACTTCAATCTCCTACCCAGTGCAAGAATCTTTCCTCTGAGAGATTAGGCACAATTCAGGACCACTGAAGCCAGTGATAAGATTTTCACTACTTTATGATAGACCTTTGACTTGCTCTCCTGGGTGGCATCTACTCCTGACATTGAGCTGGAATTTTTTTGATTGACTCCCAGCTGGTCTTAATTCAGTCCTATGGTGCCCCAGAGAATAGAGCTACTTCAAGAATTTAAAGTCAGCTCTCCTGTCCTCCTTATCCCAGCCTTTCCTTCTGCAGTTTGTCTCACTATGCTCTGAACATCTTCCCTTTTGGTTCATATCTTAATTTTTTTTTTTTTTGACAAAGGCCTTAACTATTGCTACCAATTAAAATGATGTCCTAGTGATGTGAGGACATCTTTCTGATTAAAGTTAAAGTTGAGGTTAGTGTTGCTGTGGTGCCATTTATGTTTTCAATTTCTTGTCAGAGTTTTCTATCACAGGTTTTTTTAATTAAAAAATCATATTTCGAGTAGAGTATGAGATTGTTATTTCTGTTATGAAATAGTTCTAATATGCAGAATAATAGTGAGAATAACATAACGTGATTAACATCTACGAACCTCCTATGTAGATTTAGTAATTGTTACTATTTTCCATATTTGCTTTAGAGTTCTTTTTAAAGAAATGTCTATTATTTAGTGCCAAAGTAAATGACAAAAGAAATTTTGAAGGAGCAGATAGCCTGGAATATAGGATATTTACTTCCTATTTCATTTATGAACTAGTGTTTATTTTATTTCTAAGGCCTTGTATAATCTCATTGTCTTTTTAATTGTCATATTATTTTCAGAAAGATGGGTGGGATCAGCCTTTCAAGCTCTATGTTTATTACTACTGATGTCATTTCTTAACAGACAGTCCTGGTTTCCGCCACCCCCTCCGGGTTATAATGCCACCCCGAGCACAGGTGCTAGCAGAAGGTAAGGGAAGGTGTCATATGTAATTGCAATGCTGTTGAATGAAACAATGTGTCAGATATTGACAACATGTAATTGTGGATGCTTTGGAATAAATTGGAGGCAATTTTGTGAAGTTGAGCTCTGAACAAGACAGCGCCCAGTGGGAGTGAGGTCAGGGCTACAGGTGCCCCTGGTAGGAAATCTGACAGGCTATGAGGAATAAGCAGGTGGCTGTATTAGTTTGCTAGGGTTGCTGTAATGAAGAGCCACAAACTGGGTGGCTTACGCAACAGAAATTTATTGCCTCACAGGCAATAAATTGTTTTAGGTGCTACAAGTCCAAGGTCAAGGTGTCAGCAGGGTTGGTTAGTTCTTAGGGTGAGAGAGTTTGTTCCATGCTCTCCCTAACTTCTAGTGGTTTCCTGGCAATCACTGACGTTGCCTAGTTCGTATAAACATTATCCTGATCTCTGCCTTCATCTTCACATGATCTTCTTTCTATGTGCATGTCTGAATCCAAATTTCCCTTTCTTATAAAGACACCAATCAAATTGGATTAGCAGTCCAGCCTACTTCAGTATGACCTCATCCTAACTTATTACGTGTACAGTGACCCTATTTCCAAATAAGGTCACATTCTGAGAAATTGCAGCTTAGGATTTCAACATATGAATTTGGGGGGAGGGGGGACACAATTTAACCCTTAATGGTGGCAGAGAGAGAGAACAGATTCAAGGACCAAGGAGGGGCTCCAGATGCTTCTAGGCTGTGCTGAACCCAGAGAACCATTATGTATGGCTAGTTCCTTATAAACGTTAAATGACAAATGAGAGTTTTCTACTTTTATTTTTTTGTTGAGAGCAATAGTTAAATAGATCATGTGGAAGACACCTTGTTCTACAATTTCCATGCTAGAAATGCCAGCAGCAATTCAATGTAATAAATATTTGATAACCACTACTGTGTGCCAGTTATTACTCTAAGATCTTGGGATTAGTGAATGAAACATGGAGCTTACACTCCAGGCTTTAAAGAAGCATGTTCTACGAGTGTAGAATTTCTGTCATCACTAACACAGAAAGAAAAGTAGGTCTCTGATACGGTTTGGCTTTCAGGTGTCCAAAAATGTTTTTATGTCTCAATCTCTAGAATATCTTCACCAAATATTTTCACATTTCAATGGGATCTCTTCTTCCAATTCCAACAATTGGGAAAGAGAATGTTATTAAACCACATGATTGTTTAATATTAGATTGGTTTATTTTCTAAAGTTTTCACCTACTATGCAGACTTCTAGTGTCTCTTTAATTTCTAAGTAATGGAAATATTTGAAAATAAATGTCCTTTATTATACTTTAGGTTGGATCTGTAAAGATGTAAATAAACTTTAGTTACTGAAGACACAAAGAGTTCAAGTTGCTTTTTTCCATACTTGTCATTACTTCTGTCTCTCGATATTAATATATATAACTAAATCAAATTATTAAACACATTGAGCAATCATAACTTTGAATCATATCCACATTCTATTAAAATGTTTTCTTTTAAACCTGCTCATCTGCAGGTGATATCCAATTATACAAACTGCCATATATGAATTACATTTCTAGCTTAACACATTAACTGCCATGTGAGTTGTATTTAACTCATGCTAATTTCGAGCAGGGCCTCATGAAGCATATGGAGCTCCCATGTCTCTTCACCTTTGGAGCCATGAGAATTATTTTTCAAGTTGCATATAACTCACACACAGAAAACAATACAAAATAACAAATTTTTCATTAAATTAGAAAGGATTGGTTTTTTTCAAAGTGTTTATTCTATTTTCATCATAAAACACCATGGCCCCAAGGAAAACAAATTTTTAGTGTGGTAGTCAATGTGTTAAAGCATTGTTTCTCCTCAGGCTGTTATTAGACATTTCCCTATGGGTTATACAATTTATGGATCTACCTAAGCAGGGAAAATGTTAACTAGGAGTTCTCCTAGTTATAATTTTTTTCCTGAGCATTGTTAAGATCCATCCACTTTGTCTTGATAGAGAATAACTGGTACTTTCCTTAAAAATATTTGTTACTTATTTCCAAAATAACTTATTTTTGTCCTCAAGTCATTATTCCAATATTAAGGTAAATTATCACTATAATAAGCAACTGGTTATATAACAGTATAAAAATATGAAAGGATTATTCATGAGTTAACATCTCATGCTTTCAGTGCCCATTGAGCTTTTGGATCTGTGTTTGCACAGCACTGATGGTGCTTGGCTATATGCCCTTACAATTTATGCATTACTGGTTGTGATTTACATGGGAGATGAGATGAGTTACAATGCTCCTATTTCTGATTTCTGGCTCAGATCCATAGCACTGGAACTAAGGAAAAGAGATTATTAGTCTAGGTTGATCAATTTAGATATCCATTTCTTTTTTAGAGTCACGGATTATTAATATAATGGCTAAACTGAAAGACTTCTCTTTCAGAATCAGAAATGATGTCATGCCAAGCCTTTAGGGAAAGGATAGAATAATAATAATATAGCAACGCCTTTGATTTCTAAAGTGATTTTCTTTGGAAGAGCTCAAAGTACAGCTTCTGTTTCTCACCTTTAATGCCAGTACATTCCCAGGGCTGAGAAATAGCCTTTTTAGTAAATGCTGAAAAATAGAAGCAATTATTAAATGATGAAAGAGAGTAAAGGCTTCAAAAAGAGATCTTTGTCCCCAGAGGAGCCCAAAGAAAATGAAAATAGGTCAAAAACAGATAAATGGGGGACTGTGATTTATAATGCTGGTTAATAGCTCAATGCTAAACTTATTTCCCTTTATCCTTCACTAATACATGAGCTTTCATCTCTCTCCCCCTCCATCCTCTACTAATTTCCCCTTAATACTGACACCCTCACTCTCTTTTCTGTTCTTCATTTTGTGAGTCTTTGTTTGTTTGTTTGTTTTACTACCTAATCTTTTCCTGAAGTTTCATTTTCTCCCACATACCTGTCTTCATGCAGCACACTTGAGAACGCCACCAGACTTCCCAGTTGTCTAGGAACGAGTTCTTCTTAGACTTTCTTCCCTTGACCTCTCTGTAGCCTTTAACACCATGGATTATCCCATTCCTCATTTGTTCCTTTCTTGACTTACATACTATGGAAGAAATCAAATTTAGTTGTGTTTGAATTGAAAACTTGTGTTAGTATTGTGTTTTGGATTAAAATCTATTACAGGCCAGGTGTGGTGGTTCACACCTATAATCCTAGCACCCTGGGAGGCCAAGGTGGGAGGATCGCTCAAGGTCAGGAGTTTAAGACCAGCGTGAGCAAGAGTGAGACTCCGTCTCTACTAAACAAAAACATAGAAAGAAATTACCTGAACAACTAAATATATATAGAAAAAAATTAGCTGGGCATGGTGGTACATGCCTGTAGTCCCAGCTACTTGGGAGGCTGAGGCAGAAAGATTGCTTGAGCCCAAGAGTTTAAGGTTGCTGTGAGCTAGACTGACACCACAGCACTCTAGCCTGGGCAACAGAGTGAGACCCTGTCTCAAATAAAATAAAATAAAATAAAATAAAATAAAATAAAATAAAATAAAACCTGTTACAGGCACAATGTAAACTGCACTCAAAAAATTTCAACTATTTTTATTAACAGAAGAGCTCATAACATCATACCTTGCCTATATGTATATGTATGGCTATGCATATGACTATGCAAGTCTATCTTTATGTCTTTATCTATTTCCATATCTACATCTATATCATATCTACATGTAATTATATACGTAATTAACATAAGCCTAGTGAGGTCAACTAGAACTTAAGTGAGAAAATAGAGTTTTCTAAAACAATCATATTTTGTAGCTAAAGAAAAAATGCAATTTCCTAATACAAATATCATTTTCTGTATGATATGCATTAGTCTTGGAATAAAAGGGTTCAGACCTGAGTGATCAAACACAATTTTGGAGTCGAGAGTTGAATATCTTTGAAAGCCTCTTGCTCTATTTTTATAAATGTTAAAGAGAGAAGCTGTAAGTCATGACAGCAAGACATGGCATATAGAGTTTTCAACCTAAAAGGTTTTCAACTAACATAAAACCTTGGTCCCTCTAGATGATGTCTAAGGTTGCTTTTTGACCATTGTGATTCTTGTCATAGGGATATAAATATTCTCTCTCTTCTTCTCTCGCTGAAAATGGAAATAACCAGTATAATGTTTTCAATTATCAAGGAATGCCAACATTATCCTCTGAATTCTTATTAACAAATGCCACCAAAATGTATATTTTCTTTTCATTTTAATCAAGACTGAATCAAATTTTAGCTTTATTACTGTCGTTCCTCGCTATATTCATCTGTCTTTCCTCCTACCTCTCTGATCAAAGTCCTGCTGCACTGGTTTCTCTCTTTTCCATGTTCAAATCTTTTTAATCTTAAAAAATAGCCTCCTAAAAATATGATAGCCTAATCTTACAAACCCACTCAGCTGATACCCTTTCTCTCTTTCCATCATAGCAGATGTTCTCAAGAGAGTGGATGATATTTTTCATCTTCATTTTCTGGTTCCTATCACCATTGGTTCACAGAAACAGCTCTCTGAGGTTACCAATGACTTTGGTGATATCAGTCCCTCTGACTACTTTACCTTTAAAAGGAACCACTAACTATTCATGCCTTTATGAAATCTTCTCTCTTACTCTCTTTTGAGAACCAGACCCTCCCAACATATTGTTCTGGATTTTCTTTTATTTCTCTAGCCATTCTTCCTTAGTCTCCTCTGCTACCTGATCATCTTCTACCAAGCCATTAAGTGTTGATGTTCCTAAAGGCTCAAAGTTCCTCTTCTCCTCTCTTCCTATTCTGTTTCCTGCCCTTCAGCAGTGGCATCCATACCCAAGACTTCAAGTGGCCGTTTGTAGGTTCTCCACTCCTTCATTAATACCCACTCCAGACCTTTCTATGAGTTACCTTTGCTTGGCCAATTAGCTTCTTGCTACCTTCACTTAAATGTCTAAAAAGAA